TACACCAAGTCACCCAAGAGCTTTGATGGAGATGTACACGATTAATGTTGTTTTTGTGCCTGTTAACCCACGATCTGTTACGCACCCATGTATTAAGGAGTAATTTTGATTTGCAAGTCCTATTATTTAAAATCATTATTTAAGACTTGTATTATTCAAGACTTGTAAGTTAAAATTATTATTATTTACAAGTCTTATTATTTAACACTTTGTAAAGCCATAGTTGCTGTAGATAGTGGTTACCCCGAAGGATCTTGAAAAGGTGAACTGAAAAACTTCTGGGAAGGAGCCATCATTCTAGATGTCGTTAAGAATATTCACGATTCCAGGAAAAGATCAAAATATCAACATTTACGGTGTGGGGAAAAGAAAGAGAAATCAGACTGTTACTGTGTCTATATAGAAAGAAGTAGACATAAGAGACTCCATTTTGTTCTGTATTTGAGATGCTGTTAATCTGTGACCCTACCCCCAACCCTGTCCTTGCAAGAGACATATGCTGTGGTGACTCAAGGTTGAATGGATTTTGGGCTGTGCAGGGTGTGCTTTCTTAAACAAGTGCCTGAAGGCAGCTTGCTGGTTAAAAGTCATCACCATTCTCTTAATCTCAAGTACCCAGGGACACATACACTGCGGAAGGTTGCAGGGACCTCTGCCTAGGAAAGCTAGGTATTGTCCAAGATTTCTCCCCATGCGGTAGTCTGAAATATGGCCTGGTGGGAATGGAAAGACCTGAACATCCCCCAGCCTGACACCCATGAAGGGTCTGTGCTGAGGAGGATTAGTAAAAGAGGAAAGAAGACCTCTGGGTAGTTGAGATAGAGAAAGGTATCTGTCTCCTGCCTGTCCCTGGGCAATGGAATATCTCAGTGTAAAACCCGATTGTATGTTCTATTTACTGAGATAGGAGAAAACCACCTTAGGGCTGAAGGTGGGACTTGCTAGCGCAAAGCTGCTCTTTATGCACTAAAAAGGTTTATGGAGATGTTTGCATATGCATATCAAGGCACAGCACTTTTCCTTAAACTTATTCATGTCACAGAGATCTTTATTTATATGTCTTTCTGCTGACTTTCTCCCTACAATGATCCTATTGTCCTGCCACTTCCCCTTTTCCGAGATGGTAAAGATAATGATCAATAAATACTGAGGGAACTCAGAGACTGGTGCTGGTGTGGGTCCTCTGTATGCTGAGCACCAGTCCCCTGGGCCCACTTCTTTTCTTTCTCTATACTTTGTCTCTGTGTCTCATTTCTTTTCTCAAGTCTCTCGTTCCACCTAACAAGAAACGCCCACAGGTGTGGAGGGGCAGGCCACCCCTTCATACAGGAGTTTAGAAGACATTTGTTCCAACCCTCATGAATGACTTTGAGGGGTGCAAGACTTCAACAGAGGAAGGAGCAACAGATGTTGTGGAAATAGCAAGAGAGCTAGAATTGGAAGTGGAGCCTGAAGATGTGACTGTATTGTTACAATCTCATGATAAACTCTGAATGGATGAAGAGTTTCTTAAGGATGAGCAAAGAAAGTGAATAGACTACAGTATATAGCATAAATATAACTTTTATATGCACTGGGAAACAAAAACAATGTGTGACTGACTTTATTGTGATATTTGCTTTACTGTGGTGGTCTGAAACCAAAACCACAGTATCTCTGAGGTGTACCTCTATTAACATCTGTGATAGCAGAACCTGCTGAAAGTTGTCTGAGAAATAAATGAAAACATCTCTATTTATAAAAAACAACTTATGTAGAAAATCAGTCATTAAATAAATACATAAATTTATTTTTATCAGTGATTTGTATTCACCTTAAAATTAATACTCCTAATAGAAAAATGTGAAGAATTATTTTGATAAATTAAAAATCACTCATTTATTTTTATGACCATATTTTAAAAATAAATTACTATCATATATAAAATGGTACCAAATAAGATTATCATGCCATACGGACAAAATTAGCTACAGACAGTCCCTGACTTATGATGGTCCAACTTACTATGTTTCAACTTTATGATGGTGCGAAAGCAATGAACTTTCACTACACGTCTCAACTTACAATGCTGTTGCAACTGGATAAACCTATCATAAGTTAAAAATTAAAAACACACCTTCAACTTATGATACTTTCAACATGATGGGTTTATCAGAGTGTAACCCCATTGTAAATCCAGGAGCATCTGTATATACTATGAAGCCTTTTGGAGGTAGGGGCATGAAAACATAAACCACACCTTTGGCAAAATGATGAACAATGAGAAGCTGTGGCCCTTCTGGCAACTTACCAGGGGCTATGTAGTAGCTTGAAATGGTCACTAATTAAATGGTTTCATAAAACCAACTATAGCCTGGAGGCTTCTGCTTTCATATTGATAAATTATTCTTTGTTTGTAAAAATGTATTACATCATTCATTCAAAAAAATCCCCAAATATTTTATTTTTTAAATTTAAAATAGAAAGTTTTTATTTGATCCAGCAATCTGATTACTGAGTATATATCTGTGAGAAAATAAATTTTCTGCCCAAAAGACACCGGCACTTGCATACTCATTGCTGTGCTATTGACAATAGCAAAGACATGGAATCAACTGAGGTGCTGATCAATGGTGAATTGGATAAAGAAAACATGATACTTATACACCATGGAATACCACACAGCCATAAAAAAGAATGAAATTATATCCTTTGCAGCAGTATGGATGCAGCTGTAGGTCATAATCCTAAGCAAATTAACTCAGAAACAGAAAACCAAATCCCACATGTTCTCACTTGTAAGTGAGAGTTAAATATTGAGCACACATGGACATAAACATGGGAACAACAGGGACTGTGGACTCATAGAGGGTTAAGGCAGGAGGTCGAAAAACTACCTATTTGGTCCTATGCTCACTGCATGGGTGACAGGCTCCATCGTACTCCAAACCTTGGCATTGCACAATAAAGCTGTACATGTACCCTCTGTATCTAAAATTAAAAGTTATATTTTTTTTTTTAAAAAAGAAAGCTTTTAGAAATTTTAAACCCACTCAGATTAAACAGCAGTTGTGGGGGGTGGGAAGATGGGAAAGAGGACAAAAGAAAATGGCAAGAACACAATGGAAAGAATGGGGATGAGCCAGCGAACAGAATGCAATGCAGTGGGCCTTTTGCTAATAAAGTGCACTTTCAAACCAGCTAAAACTGTTATAAAATGGTAAAAACAGTACTTTTGTGGCCCAACCTCATTACTGAATCAATGAAGTATGGTACAATATCTAACTGTTGTGCATCAGACTGATCAATACACAGAAATTCAACGTGTATTTTTAAACAACTAGATCGAGGAATAAATGAATGGATATGAAATTTACATTTCAAGTCTTTTGGACTTGGGTACTTTATATTTTCTTTTCTAAGTTATTATTTTCTAAAACATTTGTATTTTTAAGAATATTTGATGCCTTCTGGGGATAGAAGTATGGAACATTTAAGAATAGTATTGTTTCAAATATGCCTTCCATCTTGTGCATAGAACCAGTTAAAATTTCTGTTTTCCAAAGTAGAATTTGAAATTGTTTGTAGAAAGGTATTGTTTCAAATGTATCAGGTAAGTTTTCTGTAAATTTTCATCTCTCTTTCTAATCTTTTCAAGACTAATTGTATTAAACTCTTATTTACTTTTGAATAGAAACAGGCTGAAAAATAGCTTAAAAATTAAGGTTATATTACTGATGTGTTTTCTCATTATTTCTGTGGGAAATTGTGAAATATAAGTGCATGTCTTGTTGACATAACCTTTATTCATTCATTTATTTATTTTTATTTATTTTTTTGAGATGGAGTCTTGCTCTGTCGCCCAGGCTGGAGTGCAATGGCGCGACCTTGGCTCACTGCAACCTCCACCTCCTGGGTTCAAGCCATTCTCCTGCCTCAGCCCTCCCAAGTAGCTAGGACTACAAGCACACGCCACCAAGCTTAGCTAATTTTTTTTTTTTTTTGTATTTTTAGTAGAGACGGGGTTTCACCATGTTGGCCAGGATGGTCTCAATCTCTTGACCTCATGATCCACCCACCTTGGCCTCCCAAAGTGCTGGGATTACAAGCGTGAGCCACCATGCCTGGCCCATAACCATTGTATTTTAAAATAATATATGTCAATCTATTTGTCTGCAGTTCATGGATACTAAACTGTATTCATTTATTTCTGCATAAAGCCATATCAGTGACTGTCCAATACCCTATCAACTAAGATGAAAAGCAATTTAATAATTTTTCAAAAATTACTATTAAGAATTTAAATCCTCTCTGGAATTATTTTAGAAGAATGATCTCTACTTAGTTTGTTTTTGCCTAATCTTTCAGCAGAAATCTAATGAAAAGAAAGCTCCTTAATTGTATTTAATATTTTAAAATTCCAATAAGTTTTCAGATTGATAGTTTGCAGCTAAACCCTGTCTTATTTTCTTTTTTAGTCATACTAACATCCTTCAATTTCAAATTGTGTTAGGGAACCCAGAATATAAAAGAAGGTTATCTATATTAGTTTTCTATTGCTGGGTAACAAACTACCACAAAATTAACGTTAAAAAAACACACACTTATTATCTCATGGTTTCTGTGGATAAGCTTAGCTGGGTACTCTGCTACTTAGGGTTTCACAAAGCTAAAATCAAGGTGGAAGCTGGGCTGTGTTCTCATCTGGAGGTTAGAATGGGAAAGAATCAACTTCTACTCTTACTCAGATCATAAGGCATAATTAATTTCCTAGTGTCTACAGAACTGAAGGCCTGGGCTTCTTGCTTTCTATCAGCTGAAGGCTTCCTTCATCTTTTAGTGACTGCCTAGAGTTACCAGAGGCCACCCCGCTTCCTAGAGGCTGCCCACAGTTCTTTGCCATTGGACTTTACTAACATAGTGGCTTACTTCATCAAGACAGCAAGGAGAGTCTCTAGAACAAGTCTGCTAACAGTAGAGTGTTTTACATAATGTGATGTCATCCCATGTATGACATTACATCCACCACCTTTGCCATTTCCATGGCTTAGAAGCAAGTCACAGGTCCTAACTCACACTCAAGGGGAGGAGGCCACACAAAGCAATGACCATCAGGAGAAGAGATTAGAGGTGCCACCTTAGCATTTGTCTGCCACACAGTCTTCCTAAGAAAACCAAGATCTAGAATTTCTAGTAGAATTTTCTTTTGTTCATCTAAGAATCAATTAATTCTTAATTCTAAGCTTGAAGTGTAACTGCTTTTTTATGGGTAAGTTAAATGTATCCATTTTTAAGCCTGTGAAAATATTTTGAAAGAAAATTACTACATTACCCTATGGGAGAGAGAATATGTATATATAAGTATCAATATAGAAAGAAAATACATTGAGAAAATACATATTTGTTCACAAATGTATACAAATGAACATTTTGATATATAGACACATTTAAATAAAATGTAAAAAGCACTTATATATTTTGGGGGCTTTTTAGATTTAAAATGCATTATTGATCACATCTGCTAATATTTCATATTTACAAAGGCAAAGCCACCATCTAAATTAATGGTCGTAATTAGCAGATTGAGTTTTTCACCACAGGCAAGTATCTGTCTTTTAGAGTTGTAAATGAGCATTTAAGAATTGAGGCAGCAGGTAGTATATTCTCTAAGAACAAAATGATTATTTAACATAATTTATAAAGAATGAGATATTCATACTAATTAATTCTTAAATACAGATTTTTTACATGAATTCTTAATATTCCATTTTATTTAAATTTTATTTAATATTAATTTAGCCAGTGAGAAGCATTTGTGCAAGTTTTATTTGGTAATTTTGCTTGATTTCTATCCTGTTTATATAGTGTTTCTGAGTCTTATTCTCAATAATTTAGATGAAAAAGTTTTTAAATTAATTATTACATATAGATTTAGAAAATCACTTTAACATGAAAGATAGCTTTAATATTTTAAGAGTTAATGTATTAATTGACATACTTCCTGACAATTATTTTAATAATTATCTATGGATTATATAGATAAGCAAAAGAGTGAGTGAAAAATCAACCCATGGAAAAATACTTGACATTTAATATATTATACTGAGAAAACTACCTTTGGGATTGTGTTATATAGATCTTGCTAAGCTGCAATACCTTAGACAAATTAATTAGTTCTATTGACCCTCAGTATAATAGACATAGTAATTATTACTTAACATGGTTATTTGATTTGTAAAACAATACGCAAATATATTTTATTCTGGGAAACCTAAAAATTGTGCCTCCTTTATTCCTGCACCTCACCTTGTAAAACACATAAATTAGTTCACAGGAATTAAAAATTTAAAAACCCCGATTATTACAACTTTTTATTTTGAAATAATTTTAAACACCAAAGAGTCTGTAAGGATATTAAACAAACTGCTTATCACGTCAGGTAACATTTCATATTTACAAAGACAAAGCCACCATCAAAATTAACGGTAGTATATAGGGCTGTACGTCTTGTTAAACCGTCTTCTCAGTCTTTTGATACGTTCTATAAATTTTTTAAGGAATGTTTTGTTTTCTGATACAAAAACACATTGCACGGCTCATTCTTCATGGTGCACTTGTTCTCATTTTGTTGGAATTGTGTTTAAATACTAATATCTGGATGCTAGATATGCTCTTTGCAACTTGGGTGAGATCTCATATTCTCAACACTTTGCATGCCCCCCAAACAACAACAAAATGTCCAAATGGTAATTAAATTTCTACTTTACATCATTTTTAAAAATTGAAAAATAAATTATAATTGAAACATAGTAGAATCAACTGTAAAAAAAATGTTTAATCACATAATTTGACCACTTATGTTAACCAATAAATTAAACGCAAAAGTAACTCAGAAAATCTTAGTCATTTTGGGTTGCTATAACAAAATACCATAGACTGGGTGGCATATAAACTATAGACATTTATTTCTCATAGTTCTAGAGGCTGGAAGTTCAAGATCAGGGTGCAAGCATGGCCAGGTTCTGGTAAGGGTCTTTTTTCAGATTGTAGACTGCCAACTTCTTTTTGTATCTTAACATATCCTCAGAAAGAGAAAGAGTTAGCTCTCTGACCTCTCCTTACAAGGGCACTAATCTCATTCATGAGGGCTCCACCCTCATTACCTAATTACCTCTCAAATGCTCTACCTCCAAGTACCATCACACAGAGATTAGCGTTTCAACATATAAATCTGGGGACGACACAAACATTCAGTTCATTGCATTATCTTAATGTACTACTAGCTCCATATAAGCTCAAAGGCTGCAAATTAAGTATATTTTCTTCCTTTTTTCCTAGCTTTATCTTGAGTCAAAGGCATTGTGATCTTTTATTTATGGATTAAATGTGCACTAATATAAATCAAAATCACTGTGATATGGTTTGTCCGTGTCCCCAACCAAATATCACTTTGAATTGTAATAATCCCCATGTGTAAAGAGCAGGGCCAGTTCCCCCATGCTGTTCTTATGATAGTGAACAAGTCTCATGAGATCTGATGGTTTTATAAAGGGGAGTTTCCCTGCACACACTGTCTTGCCTACCACCATGTAAGACGTGGCCCTGCTCCTCTTTCACTTCCTGCCATGATTGTGAGGCCTCCTCAGCTGTGTGGAACTGTGAGCCAATTAAACCTCTTTTCTTTATAAATTACCCAGTCTCAGGTATGTCTTTATTAGCAGCATGAGAATAGACTAATACACACTGAAATATAGTGTTATAGGAATATGGTATTATACTGACCACATGTCTCAGTTTAGGGAGAACAGTCCAGGTTAACTGCCATACCCTGAACATAAATATTAATGTTGAACTATTTCAACTCTCAGAAGTGCCCCAGCTTGGACAAAACTCATGCAGTTGACCAATATCCTATTCACCACCTGTTGTGATATGTTATTGGTACCAACATGCTTTAAAAATGTTCCATTGGTCAGCTCTATTATTACAATTTTTTTTTTTTTTTTTGAGACGGAGTCTCGCTCTGTCGCCCAGGCTGGAGTGCAGTGGCGCAATCTCAGCTCACTGCAAGCTCCGCCTCCCGGGTTCATGCCATTCTCCTGTCTCAGCCTCCCGAGTAGCTGGGACTACAGGCGCCCAGCACCACACCCGGCTAATTTTTTGTAGTTTTAGTAGAGATGGGGTTTCACCGTGTTAGCCAGGAGGGTCTTGATCTCCTGACCTCAGGATCCACTCGCCTCGGCCTCCCAAAGTGCTGGGATTACAGGCGTGAGCCACCGCGCCTGGCCTATTATAATTTTTAATATGCAATTTTTTACAGAAAGTATATATTGTCTCTATCAATTCCACTTAGTAACTCTCTAAAAAAAAAATAATAAACTATTATCTATCATCCTTGTCATGAAATGAACCCTCTTAATTTATCAGTATCTCTGTTTAATTACAGAATTTCACAGCATAAAATATTTTTAAACACTTTGAGACACGACATACACATTTTAAGATGTGTTACTGGTAATTATTAGAAAAGTATAGGAGTGTGTCAGCTTGTTTATAATTTTTTAATAAAAATGAAAAAATGTGAGCCTCTCAAATGTCCATCAATAAAATATTATTATTTTAGTACAATAGAAAATTATACAGCCATTATTCACATAGTGCTCAAATAATAGATTAAGTAACTTGAAGGGATTTCCACAAAATAGCAAAGTGGTTATCTCTTTTTAGAGGAACTATGGCTAATTTTTACGTGTTTCCTTATGTACTTACTATATTTTTAATAGTTACATTTAAGTTGAATGGATTTATAATCAGAAATATATATATATTTATTCAGTCATAAACATAATACACCTTAACATTTATCTTGTGAAAATTATTTTATAAGTCTAAAAATAATATCCTCCAAAAGAAATTTAAAGTCGCATATTCTTGTTTATTAAATTGTATCTTATCATACTTTTAACAGGAACATGAATAATAGAGGGATTTCATATAACAATGACTTTATTCAATTTTGACATATTTGACATATTTTAGAATATGCTTTCATTTTTATATGCATAATATGCATGAAATATATAAATATGTCTGTTTGTACACATACTTCATAAGTTATATACATCATTTCTACCAAACGGCACCTTAAATCTTAATGAAAATGGAAAGTTATTTCACTTTTACTGTAAGTGTAGGTAGCACCCAACACAGCACAGATGCAAAGTTCTATGCTTATCTATTAAATATAGGGTATTAATAATGTTCAAAAGATCTTTATCCTTGGTTATTTTTAACTGTCTGTTCTATCAGTTTTTAATGATGATAAATTTGACTATCTCTCTGGAAATTTTGTTTTTTCTTCACAGATTTGTGCCTATAATATTACATAGCAAAGTTTACTTCCTGACTTTCTTTAACAGTTACCAGTAAGCAACAGCATTCTCTTTCTTTCGTGATATTGTATACTAAATTATATGCTATGTGACATTATCATTTGTTCTTTATGCTATTTTGATTTATATTTTTGGGGAATAGTGCATTTCACTGTTAATTATGGAATTAATTCTATCTGTTTGTAACTGCCTACTAAGTTTTCCAGCACCATTTATTATAAGTTCATCTGCAGCCTTTATCATACACTAAATTTCCATACGTATCTGAGTTTATTTCTTGGCTCTCCATTCTATTTCACAATTTGATTTGTCATTCCATGTACCAGTGCCAAATTACTTGAGGTTTAGAGAATTTATAGTAATGTCTGGAAAAGCTTGTTCCCGCCTACTTTACCATTTTCATTATTTTTATTGCTATTCTTACAGTTATTTTTTCCACATGAACTTTAGTATGACCTAGCCTAATTCCATTAAAAATAATTGCTATTTTTTTGGAAGGTATGAGTTAAAATTTAGAGAAAAACTTAGGCAGTACTAACATCTTTATGATTTTAGATTGCCCTATCTGAAAACAAGAAATGTCTTTCCATTTGTTTAAGTCTACTGTAGTGTTTTTCGGAAATGTTTTAAACTTTTCTTCAAATAATCCTACGAATTGTGTGTTAATTATATATCTAAATAACTTACCGAATTTTAAAAGTTTGTTTCATCATTGATTTTTAAGAGTTTTCCAGGTATATGTTCCTGTCAGCTACAAATAAAGATAGTTTTACTTCTTTACCTATTCTTATGCCTCAGCCATTTCTCTTGATTAATTGCATTGATTAATACTTGCATTAATGTACTGAATAGAAGCAGATGTTGTGGGTGTACTGCC